TAATTATCCAATTGTTATTAACACTGAGAAACAAGAGAAGAAAGAAGAAGATAAAGATAAAGAAGTAGAAGAAATTGACGAAGATAACAAAGAAAAGATTGTAAAAGAATCTAAGATATTGAATGAAGGAGGAAGTATATGGTCTAAGAAATTCAAGAGCATACCAAAAGAAGAGCTTCAAAGTTTTTATAAACTGCTTTCTAAAGATGTAGATGACTACGTCTATGCTGAATCATTTAACTATGAAGGAGTTAATGATATGAAACTTATGATATTCTTCCCAAAGAGAAGTAGAAGTAATTTTTTCGAATCAGGTCCATCTGAAAAGGCAAATAATGTAACAATCTACAGTAATAATGTAATGATTACTAATGAAATATCAAGAGAATATGTTCCAGCATACATGGACTTTATTACTGCAGCAGTATCATCACCATCATTACGTCTTAATGTTTCAAGAGAATTCATTCAAGGAACAGCATTATTTGAAATGATAAAGTCTAAGTTACCTAGAAGTATTTACAGAATGTTTAGTAATCTTCAAGATACCAACCCAACTTTATTCAATGAGTTGTACAAGGAGTATTCACACTACTTGAAACTAGCAGTTAAGGACACTAGAGACTCAGTTCAAACTGACTTTGCTAAGTTATTGAAATTCCCATGTAATTACAGTGATGAAGAAGTTACATTAGATAGTTACATACTAAAAGCAGCAGAGATTAATCCAAATTCTAAGCAGATTCTCTTCCTGTCAGGAACTAATACTACAGATGTTAAGAATTCAATTTTCCTTGATGCATTTAAAGACAAACCAGTTATTTACATGACATCAGTAACAGATGAGATTATGTTACAAGGATTTAAGACTTACAACGGATTTGATTTCCAAAGTATTGCAGTTGAAGGTGTAGAAGGACATGATAATGAAAACAGTGAAGAATTAAAGTCATTAGTTGATCATATTAAGGAACACCTTAAGGATAGTGTAGACAAGGTAATTGTATCATCAAGATATGAATCAATTCCAGCAGTT